CTTTTTCAAGCAACACCTCAAGAGAGTGGGGGATTATGCCGAACCCCAACCTGTATATAAAAATGCCCTAAACCCTAAACCTATTCCATGAGTTGTTTAACCACACATTTTCGTATAAATAAAATGTGTAGTTAAAAACTCAATACTATTCACGAGGGTATGATTGAACAGGCGGTTTAGAACTTAGAAAATAGACTTATAAGTTTAAAAAAATATATTTTTCAGTACAAGAACAAGTTGACTAGGTCATATTGATGTGACAGCAAGAAAAAAACTCTCTATTTTCAATCTATTTTAGACTCAAGTAGAGATCTGATCGTTTTCCATTGAAAATAATGGTGTTAGTTTTATATAATTTTGTTCATGTCATCTAAGACTTGAGTCTATATATATGTCACGTCAGCCAAATTAGACCCAAAGCATTGTGAATGTTTTTTTAGTTGTGTAAGTTAATTGTAGTAACATCTAAATGGTAATATGCTAGTAAATTTTTGTTTTGGGTTAACTTATGGGAGACTTATGGGAATAGAATTTTTTCTCTAAGTGGTCCCATTTTCGAATATTTATCTTTGCCCCTCATTGAATTTTAATTCGATCCCTGATCAATAAATCCTCCCTATATATAAAAATGAAAAGTTTCTCAAGCTTATATTACAATTTTGGATATTTCGTAATTTTATATGTCAAGTTCTCATAGTTCGGAGTATAGGTTTGGACTTTTGCCCATAGCTATTAGAATTGTTAAAATTATAAAATACTTAGTCAAATTAAAATATAAACTAGATGACTTTTTTATTTGTTATTATATTTTCATACCTAATATATTAAAATTATCATTTTTCGACGATCTTCGATTTGACAACCATATTACTTATAGAAAATAAAAATATGTATATCTTTATATATATAATTTAAACAAAAACAATATTATAATTTTTTAAGAAGTATTTAGAATTTCAAAATAAAAAAATTTTAATTTTGTTTTGGTGCTTCGTAATATTATTATGTCGACTTATGGTGGTTCATAAATAAATTCTGGTAGTTTAGAGTAATCCATATAGATTGAAAACTGTGTTCTTGTCTATTAAAATTTTTAAAATATAAAATACTAAGTCAACTTAACTTGTAAATATATTTTAAAACTTTATAGTTTTTCTATTTGTTATCATTTTTTTATATATTTATAAAATATTAAATTAATCATCATTTGATAATTTTTGATTTGGCATCCATATCGCGCGCGCACACACATATACATACACACACACACACACACACACATATATATATTTGAAAATAAAAAAACTTTTTATTTTATTTAATAAATTTATTTATTAAATATTATTTTTTTATTATCACCTGTAAAATACATTGGTGCTGTATCTATCAAGTCCATATACGCTAAAAAAAAATTTATAATATAGGAGAATAAGTTGTACAAGTGAAGTGTTGTCATTTTAAATAAAAATAAGAATGTAACGTTTTAAAAATTATTCAAAACATAAAACAAAAGCTTTTATCTTTTTTTAATTTATATATAATTTTTTATTAGTACTTACATAATACACAAATGTGCTCTACTAGTACTACATAACATGCATATGTACATTTAATTTAACCTATTTTTGTCGAAATTAAGTATTTTAAAAAGAATAATTAATATAATATACACCTGTATGGGTGGAAAAGTCAAATTTACTGTTTTCATATCGAACTAGTATATATCATGTGCACATGCACAGATGTACATAAAATATTATAAGTAATATTTGAGAATTTAATATTCAAATTTTAGATTATGAACATATTACATTATTAATTTTAATCATAGGAAGAATAAATTAATAATTGTTTATTATTATGAACAATTGTTTATTATCATTAGATAATAACAGTTTGATTATTATTATTATTATTATTATTATTATTATTATTATTATTATTATTGTAATTACAAAAATAATTTTTTATAATATTCTAAAGTTGTTTGACTATGCTATTAAATAATTTACTAATTGTTTTTAAAGAAATTTTTTCATGAGATACAAAAGAAAAAGATAATATTGATGCTAAAATAAATAACTTGAAACAATTGTTTATAATTACGCAATTTATATTTATTATGAATTATTATTAGTTGGTATTAGCATTAATTATTATATAATATAATAGAAAAATACATGATTACACTCAATAAGATGTATTAATGTGAGAAGTAAAAAATATTAATGATAAATTTTGTAACCAAAAATGGAGGAAAAATTATAGAGATTTTATTAAATAAATTTTCTTAAATACTATTAGCTAGTAATTATATATATATATAGATTGAGAAATCTTGCATTGGCCAATTAAGGCAATAACACTTTGAGGAATTCAACGGCGCACCTAACGTACGAAACATACTAAATGAAATTTCACGTGGAGCGGAAATTAAATTTTCCATGCAATTTGCGTATATTCCTCCTTCAAGCATGTGCCCATTTTTACTATTCTGATTTTTTTTATGTAACATTCTTCTTTTAATTTTTTATATTAATTTCTGGAGCTAAATGAACTACCTCGAAGTTGCATCTATTGTGTATATATACCAGTCACAAGGAAGAATAAGTAAGATTAAACTGTATGTGAGGCCCGTGGGCAGATTTAAATCTCTCCAAATTAAGCCATTAAACTAAAAAGTGTAAAGTCCCTCTAGTGTACTTGTATAGACTATACATGTAGTGGAAGTCAACCAGAATCCACAAGCCAAATATATAATTTATTTATATTTTTTTATTTGTTTTCCTTAAATTAATTACTTGCTCCGTACTTCTGAAAAAGAAAACATTAACAAATACTTCTCGTGATTCATAAGCGATTAAGCTCTATTGTGGCTTGTTGTGGTTTGATTAGTAATAATTCTAGTAAGGTTTGGTGAGTCAATGACAACACCCAAATTCGGGACTCTTAATTAAGACGTATCAAGTCAATTGCAATGGACCTGGAAACCGGCATACGATTTCCAAAAACTATATATTATTTTGCAGGCAATGTTTTTTTATTTTAGTTATTTAAATTAACATCGATAATAAGGATGTTTTGTGCAATTTGATTTAAATCATAGGCACCAAATTAATATAAATTCAACCCGTAAAACAGAATAAAGAAAGGCCCTACGGGTTTCGCCCAAAAACTCATCCAAAGATTGAGATGATACGTTGCCAATTGATTGTTTTTACTAATTTACTATTATAATTTAGGGAATAGTTCTTTCAATTCAATTAAAGTTATTAGATCTTTTAGTTTTGATATAGACCCTTAAATGTAGTCAAACAAAAGTGATGTAACAGTTTTTTATTGGAGTTTTATATAAAAGAATAGTCCTATTGCGGGACTATAACATTTTTTTAATTTAACTACACATTTTAGTTAGGCCAGCTATTTTTTGTAGTTATAAACTAAATACCAAGCAAACAAGGTTGAACGAATAGGTTCAGTCCTTTTATCTGTATTCAATGAATATAGAAATTTCACATAGTTGGATCCTCAAAACACAAGTTTTAAATTAGAAATCTCTATCCCTTCGTTATAGTATCATAGTAATCGATTCAATCTAGGATGAGGTAACTTCGAGCTTACTACCAACTATGAGTTTTTTACCATAGGGTATCTACACACACCTACAAGGGTTGTTGGTGAATGTATAATNACATTAGTAGGATCAATTTTTTTCTTAAAAAAATCTTTAGAATTAATTGTACATAATTAATGGAATCGTATCCTTAGACTTCCTTGATTGGTAGTGTAGCCAACATGATAAATCCACAAGATTATCCTTACTCTTGTTAAGTAGGAAAAAACATATTGCGGTAAAATCTTTCTCGATATATTGGGACTTCAGCCCATGGTAATGTGACTGAATTTTCCTTGGTGTGAGATACGTGGCATATGGGTGATAGCATCAACATGGATTGTGGGTGTGATCAAATGATTAAAAATAAATAAAAAATCCACCAATAGGATCGCCTTTTCCTTAAAACATATTATAGTCAGTTAGGTATAGGCTTATTTAGAAATTTCACATAATTAATGGGTTCTTACACTTTTATTTTTTAAATATAGGGTTCTTACACATAGGCTTGCTTGATTGGTGTCGTACATAGAAATTAGCATGATAATTCCACAAGATTATCCTTACTCTTCTCAAGTGTAAAAAGCATAGAGTAAAATCTTT